CACTTCTCAGGCAACACCACTGCCCCTTTTTTCCCCCCCTTCACCCAGCCACGACTTCAGAAAATTCACTCCTGAACTCAAAAAAAACATAGAGCAAGGAATACCTCTGATCTCAGTCCAGTTCCTCATCTCCCTCCCACCTCTCACCACTCTTTCCCTTTCATGACCGGAATGCTCTGAACACCCTTCCTTGCAAGCGGATGTCACTGGCATCTAGAAGAGGACTTCCAGCCGTGCTCCTGTTTCAGCTCCACTTCAGTGTCAGCGCCACCCAGAAGCCAGAGCTGATCCACCCGAGGCAGAGACGAACAGTGCTTTCCACAAACCCCACAATCACACTCTTCAAGCTGACTTTTATGCCCAAACAGCTTTCTAATCCCCAGGTCCTCACCTTCAAAGTCATCAACAGATAAACCCCAGAGAGCCCAGAGAGACGCTGCATCACATACTCTGGAAAAAAAGCCACTCCTAAGGGAAATAAGCAGTGAAGGAAAATGGCGTTGGCTCCAAACTTCCAGAGGGTATCACAGCAAACCAGAGGCTCTGATCCTTCAGCACACACTGAAGAAGCTCTTCTCAGAGAGATTCTTGGGCACTTTCCTTTCCGGTTCAACTCTTTGCTCACTAAGAGAAGACAGAAAAGCCCCCACACACACACAACAGTCTTAATTTAACTAGAAGGTTACCAGCACAGGCCTACTCCAACAGCACAACCTGGCCCACATCCGAACACCAGGTAAGCACTGCCAGAAACTCACCCTGACTTCACACAGGGTCTCTTACATTCCTGAAAGCAATCCTGTATTTCTTGCCATTCTCCTGGGCTTTTGGGAAGCTCCTCGCATCCAGAAGATGCCACCCAACAGAGCAGGAACCAGCACACTGCTTTCTGAAAGGGACTACAGCACAGTTAGCTAAAGTAACTCAAAAACTAGAGCACACACTCAATTACGGAGGCAACATTAGCAAAACACATTTCCATGTGCAGCAATGATGTACTTCACACAAAAATTCCCCCAAACACTGACCCTTCCTCTCCACTTCTCAGAAACGGAATTCAAGTGGAGGAAGAAAATAAAAATTTTAAATTGAAACCCATCCTGAACCTGCCACGACTGCCCCACTGCAATAACCTGAAAAATACCCCATCCAGAGATACCCAACCCCACACTGAAACAGCTACAGTGATATATTAAGGTCAAGTTTACTGGTGCCTGCACAAAGATCATCAACAATCAGGAAGCTGAACTCCCTCCAAATGCAAGGAAGTTTGGAAAAGAAAACAAAAACCTACTGACACCAGCCCAAGATGGCTCTAATTTGGCTCCAAGGTACAGCGATAAATTAACCCTGAAGAGCCAGCAGACATGCAATGTTACCCAAGTTTAACATAAATCAATCTGTTTGTCCTTTACAGTGCAATGTTTGTCCATGTCTGGGCTGGGGCTGTGAAGACACTGGCAACCTGATTATATTGATCCACAAAATTTATTCACAGCGTGTGGACTTTTTAAAGAGCATCTTAATATAACACACACAAAAAATACTCCACACAAAAAGTGGGAGCATGAGGGAGAGTAAAGAAACATGGTGTCATTGAACAGGTATCTGAAGTACCATCAAGTTAAAAGCACAAAGGTCTACTGTAACCTTGCAGCCCAGAGTGTATCTTCATTATTTTACATTTTTATGGAAGAAGAGTTGCTACAGAACAATTGATTTCATCCAAAATTTGTTCCTGGGAAGCGGTCTGAAAGTCAAAAGCAAAGGTGGGCAGATCAGGTTGGGTTTTTTTTTTTTTTATATATCTCTCTGTGTGTCATTTCAGTGACACGGTTACACCCTCCCTTGTCCATCCCCCCCATATAAGGGTCAGAATGAAACTGGAGGATTTTTCAACACTGACAACTTTTGAGCACAATTTCTGTCTGAAATCAGGTTTGACTGAATACTCACCACTACCAGAGCCACAAATTATCCCAACTTACTTTTACACAGAAAATTTAACTTCTTGAAGTCACCATGTTAAAGAAATTTCTTAAAGCTCTGTCTTACATCAGCTTCAATAACTTCCTATTCAGCATGTAACAGAATGAAACTCCCATCAAAACATTTCTGTTCTTCATGTTCATCACTCTCTAACTTCACTTTCCTTCAAGAAATATTTTTTTTCTTCCCCCTGTATTTTTCTTTTCCCTCGCTAACACTTTCTAAAAATGCAGTAAGCAATCCTTTTACCTGTACAGTTTTCTCTCACCCAATTCTGTTATACAGATAACTGTTTAATTTCAGGATGTATTAAGTACTAAAACCTCACATATTTCCAGAGACATAAAGTTCACCATACCGAAGCTGTTCTAGTTTAAAAAGCCCAAGTCAGAGCCTCAATCTACCTATTAACATAAAATAATCCTTCACATAAACAAATAAACCCTCACACTGCCATGAGGAGACCTTGCAGTGCTCTGCTCACTCCCAAGTTGCCAGAAGAAACCTGCAGCTGTACTTTATCTGCTGTAGGGTAACGCTGCCTCCATAGTTGTATCAAAACAGAAAAAAAAAAAAAAAAAAAAAAAACAACAACAGCAACAAAACAAAAAAAAAAAACGGAGCTAAAAATAAGGCTGAACTCAGATGACCCCCTGCACTCCAGTAAATCACAGATGAACTGTGCTCCCCAAGCCTCACTTTTGCAGCAGCGCTTAGAAAAGGTAACAGCTTTTGTTTACTACCTGGAAGCACACACAAGTTTTGGCAGAGGAAAAAGCCAGCCAGGACACGTGAATACAGTTCACCCAAAATGTATCAAAAACACAGCGTCTGTATATATGACAAGGACAGATTAGTAGTTTAAAAGTTCAGGAGCGGTATTGGTCAAACACGGTATGTTTTCACAACAGGCATGGCTCTAAATAAATATTAGAATATATCATTTTAACCTCCCCACCTTGATAACATCAGCTTGTCATATCTACCTAATGCTTCTCCATTCCTCTATACCTCTTCTCTAGGTGTGCAGCCGGGTCCCGCCATGGGACACCCTGCCACACCCTCCCCAGCTCCTTCAGCCTCTGGCCCATTCCTTCCAAGGCTTTTTATTTTTAGGCTGCGCTCAGAGGTAAGCCCAAGCTTCATTTCCCACACGTGCTCAAACTCAACCAAAAGCAACGGTGTCCTGTCTTAGATACAACAGCACAGCTGCTCTTGCAAACCACCACCAAGCTCTCCTTCAACAACCCCAGAGAAGTATTCAAGTCCCTCCACGCTTCTTTTAATGATTACTTGAAAGTAAAAGTGCTTTGGAAAGACCAGCACACTCCTGATCCCACAGCCAGGCAAACCTCAGCCCTTCAACTGTCAAGGCACCCAAGCATCACGTTCCCCATTAAAAAAAGACTCTTTCCAGACAAACCAGCACCGTGCTGGTAAAATCAGCTGAGCACAGACTCTATGTGCACGCTGGCCGGCGTTCCCACTTGGCACATCACTCAAAACCGAGCGAAATTTCCCCTGAGCAACAGTTTTTTACTTACCACCACCCCACTGACTTTGTAATGACAGCACCTTCACACTTTTTTCCTAAATAAAGCACCCGCTGGAATTACAGAATAGCACAAGCTAGCCAGAAACACCCAGCAGAGTACGTCCCTCCGCAGCACTCTGAAGTCTTCAGAGGTTTTTCACTTGACCCAAACAAATCTGTAACGTCAACAGTCTCATGATTTAAGAAACGTATTTGTTGTCATGGCAAGAATGATTCTTGCCGGAAGCTCAAGAAAACAATGGATCTAAACTGATTATAAAAGGGCTTGGTTTTCCCACCTCAAAAATGAAAGTGAGAGCAATAAAATGCTTATACACAGGGAACACATTTCTTGAAGAGCACACACATCACCACACAGCTGAAACAGCTCTCGGCAAAAAAAAAAAAAAAAAAAAAAAGCAAAGCACCCTGCACTTCCACATTAAAACCTAAGTCACTGCCACCAGTAAAGAGCAAAACACACTCCTGACTGTCCCCTGCACAGCACACCACACCATTCCCAGATCACACAGCAAGGCGGTATTTCACTGTTTTTCACTTCACACTCCCCCCAACTTCAGGGGAGGGGGGACAGAAAAGCCAGTTTGATGCTATCTGACGCTGGAAACAAAACCTCAACCAGGCAGGCAGGCCAGCCACCCCACTTTCCTGCTGATCCCTGCAGTATTTACCTCCTGACTTGGGGCCTAGTCGCAGCAGAGGACCGAAGACCTTTAAAAAACATTCGCAGCCACCGCCGGCCTCTCTTTGTAGCAGTGGCCATTTCGGGCGGTGGGATTTTTTGAGTGGGAGCCTTCTCCTCCCCGTCACGCGTGGCCTCGCAGAGAAAGCTGCTCGGCGGCGCGACATTCCACCTGAGATTTATTTCCAACAGCCGAGTAAGAAAATAAATAAATAAAATAAATAAATAAATAAAATCACATGAAAATTGGCCCCGGCTGGAAAAACCTGGGTTTAAATTCTCCTGGAAAAAAACAACAAAACCAAAGCACTTACCTGGGCAGGACTGGAGGCAAAACTGAGGAGGGATTTATAATTAAAAGTTTACCCTTGGGGGTCACTGCTGCTCTCGGGGGGGGGGGGGGGGAGGAAGGGGGCTGGGGGACCCTCTGCCTTCCCCGGGTGAAGGTGGTAACCCCCAAAGCAGCCCATCAGCAGGGGAGGGGGGGAGGCACCCCCTTTTCCTCACACCACCCCAGCAGGTGCAGCCCCCCACTTTGCACTTGGGGGGGGGGGGTGGAGGGTGGCACACACACACACACACACATAAACACAAACACACAAAAAGCAGCGGGGAGCCCCCAACCGCCACCCCCCCCTCCCCACAGCCCCCCCCCCCCCAGGACTGAGGGGACCCCCGCGGCCCCTCTCCGCACCCCACCCCCCCCCCCGGGACCCGCTCGCTGTGGGGAAGGGGGTGTCGCCCCCCCAAACCCCCCCCCGGGGCAAAGGATACTGCTGGGGCGGCTGGGGCGGCAAGGCCCTGATGTTGGGGTGAGGCGCCGGCGCCGCCGCCGGGTGAGGGGGAGCCGGGGGGGGAGGCGGCCCCGCCGCTGCCGCCGCCGCCGCCGCCGCCGCCGCCGCCCCGCTCCCGGGGCCGGTCCCCGCCGCCGCCGCCGCGCCGGGTTTCAAAGCCGCCTTCTGCGGTAAACTCATCGCCAAGCGGAGCCACCACCCCCCGGCGGGGAGCGGGGCCGGGGCCGGGGGGGAGCCGGGGTGCGGGCCGGGGGCCGGTGCGGCGGCCGGGGCAGCGCGGCGGGCCGGCACCGGCGCCGGTCTCCGTGACAACGCGCCTCCCGGAGGGCTCGGCGCGGGGAGGGGACGGGAGAGGGGCCGGCGGGGAGGGGAGGGGGGGAGGCGGCTCAGGCCGCGCTGCTCATGAGCCGCCGGCGGCGGGGGGTCTCGGTCCCCCTCCCCGGGGGCAGCGGAGCCCTTCGCGGTGACGGCTCTCGGGCGATGCCGGCGGATTTTCCTCACTGAAGTAGCGGAGCATCAAACATGGCGCTGCGGCCGCCTCCAGCAGTCCGGCAGGACGGACGCTCGGGCGCCTTCGGGCCGCTCCGGAGCCGCTCGGCCCACCGGCGCTCGGCAACCTTCGGCTCTTTCCGGAGCCGCTCGCTGGCGAGCGGCGCTCGGGAAAGCTCGGCTTCTTCCGGAGACCTTCGCGGGCGCACGCGTCCTCCTCCCCCTGCTCCCCCCCCCCGTCCCTCCCCACTCAGCCCGGCACCTCCCGTGACCCCCGCGCTCGGGAAACTTCGGCTCTTTCCGGGGACCGAGGCCGTGTGGGAGTTCGGGAAGCTTCGGACGGGCTCGGAGGAGGGATTCCCGCCCAGGCGGGAGGCGCTCGGGCCTCTTCGGAGCCTCTCGGGAGCGGCGGGGCCGCGGCTTCGGGCGCTTTCGGCTTGGCCCGGAGAGACTTCGGCAACGCTCGGCTGTGAGGAAGCGGTCCTCGGCTGTCAGGGGGCGCCGGGCCCCCACTGCGGGCTCTAGGGCACAGGGGCGTTCCCCCTGCCCAAAAACTCACCCCCAGCCCCGCCGCCAGCCTGGTGGCCTCCAGCCACATCCTAGGCTCCTGGGGCGGCTGGCGGGGGCAGCGTGAGGGCCGACAGCCCTGAGGGTGACATGTTGGCTGTGAGGGCAGCCCGGGAGTCCCTGAGGGAACCTAGCTCTGGCAATGGGGTCCCAGCAGGCATCCTCCTCGCACCCCTTTGCTGCTGCTTTTGTCCCACAGGGTTTGCCACGCCGCTGCCATCTTCAGCATTTCACAACCAGGCCGCAGCATCCTTGCGACCGTCGCCAGGCTGAGCTTGGCAGGGGGGAAGGCCGTTTGTGCTGTCCTGGGTAGATAAAAAAGACCTCGGAGAGGATTCAAGCAGCTGGTGGATTGTCCTGACTTGTCCCGTCCCGCCGCTGGCTCCCAAGGGCTCATTCCAGCCCGCTGGCACCAATCAACGTTCCTGCCGCACCGCACGTCCCAGGGAAACGCTCCCGGCACCTTCCCTCCGCCGGCAGGTATTGCCACCCCGGGTCACCCAAGCCTGGGCTACGGGAGCTGCTTTAGGAAAGTTTTGTGTGGTTTATTTGCATCCCATCTGCTGCATCTTCTGGGCAACTGCAAAGTTTAGGAGGAAGATACTACTTTAAAGCCATCACAAATAAACTCTTAAAAGTGAAAAGCTGCTTTTATTGAAGTAAACAGCTCTCGGTGGTATGTTGAGGCAGTTAGTGAGTAACTGGTGCTGCAACTGAAAGCTGACGGAAGAAAGATAGGGGTCTTGCTCCCTAAAGAAAACCTACCCAATGAGTCACATCTATCCACGTCTCCACAACAGCCCCATTTGTAAGCAGAAAAAGTAATTTTGAGTTTTAAAATACAAATCTGAAGGGGGAGAATCTGGACTCGGCGTCATTCACTAGAGCAAAACTGAGCACAGCTGCCAAAAAATAGTGGAAGGGTCTTGAGTCCATTTCCCCTTTTGCGTCAGACTCTGAATTGTTAAACAGTTGGGTCTGTGCAGGTCAGGTTTAGGACACGACCCCAGACTGTGCTAACACATGAGGACTACGGTGTATTCTGAGGCTCACCATCCTCTGAGGTGTGATTGCAGAAGAAAAGCTCCTGTGAGCTGCCATCCATGCGGTTTAACCCACCATGGCAGTCTCCAGTAAGAGCAGCTGTGTAACTGGAATAATTTCTTACTTACTAAAGTGCTATCCACAGGGTCCTGTCCCACTGAACAAGTGCGCTGCATAATGCCAGAAGTTATTAGTGGAGCCGGTTGCAGAGGGAAGATGACTAACATCTCTCTCTGTGCTTTTTGTTCTGCGCTGGGGTAAAGGAAATGCCTGGGATGAGGTGAGCTCACATCTACCTCAAACTGCTTGTAGGAAATGGGGTGAAATGGAAAACAGTGAGATTTTTTTGGAGGAAGAAAGCCCAACCAAGCTTTGCCAGCCTGTTAAGAAGTCCTGAAGGGGGACTATTTCCATCAGCAGCCAGGAATAAATATTTAGAGGGGGCTCTGGGTATTTTCTTCTGAACCAGTTTTCCTCTGCAGCCTACCACCCGCCAGATGAACTGCTGATTCCCACCAGGAGAATGAAAGACTGAAGAGAGAAACGAGAATGATCTCAAAGAAAGGCCAAGTACTCCCCCACTCCCCCAAAATGGGAGAACAAAGGAGGCACTTTTAGCATGGCAGGGGGGTTGCCCAAGGACTGATAGATCTCCAGACATCCTGGAGAGCTGCTGCACTCACAGCACATCACACTTCCCAGCCTGCTGGGAAGACAGATCCCCTCCACACTTCATAAAGACTGTGCTGTAATAATTTTGAGGGTGCAAGTAAAGCTGTGTGGTCGGGGGGGTCGGTGCCTGGCCCCACTCCATCGACCGCCTCCCAGGCGTGGCACTGCTCCTGCTACACCCCTTCATGCGGAACGAAATTCATACCAAAAGCAAATTGACATCTATGGCTCCCTCTGTTCGACAGAAATAGATGCCTGTAAACACAGCTGTGAAAGAGCCTTCTAGCTCCAGTATCTTTAGATATATCACTTCTTTCTGCCTGTTTATAAAGGAAAAAAACAACATTTTCACCATACTATCTGCTGAAGCTCCCAAAGCTTGCTGGCCATGAGAAGGAGCCAGGCTCCTGGCTCTGTCTTAAAGCTCCTCCAAAGTCTGTGTCTCCCCACAGCCATCTTTTTACCTTTTTTTTTTTTCCCCCAAGAGGAAAAAGCAGACAGGTCTCTCCTATACTACCCCACACAGGATAATTTGGCCAGTGAAATCTGCAGGTTTGGCGAGCCTGAGCAAGTGCCAGCTGGATTCACACCCTTCCTACTGCCTCTGGTTCCTCCCCATTTCATTTCTTCTCCTATTTTTCCTGCTAACCTTATTAGCACCTGGGAACTGATGTGTCACCATGGGCAGCTTGAGTTTACAGTGCTGAGCTCTTGTTTCAGATCCTCACCAACCCTTTTTCCAGTCTCTCATGTACCTGGCACAGCAGCAACACTCACAACCACGTGGTGAAGGGTGTAGTAGGACTGCCAGAGCTGTTGGTGAACTTAGGAAAAGAGAGCGAAGGATTGGGGGTATCACTGGAGAAGGGCTGTTTTCCTGCAGGAATTGTTTGAGGAAGCTTTTGGCATGTTCGCTGCCCTAAAGCCTGATGGTCCCCAGCACTGTCATGATGGGGGTTAGATCCTGCTTGGAGTGGGCAAACTGGGAAGGAGAAGAGCAGTTCAGATGGTTAGGTTCAGCCTCTCACCTGGAAGGCTGGCTTGGCCCCACCAAACCTGTGAACAACCACCATTTCCAGCTCATTTTGGAGGCTCCAGCTTCAGGCACCCACTTTCACCCAGCACGGCACGGCACGGCACTGCCTCCCTCTTAGGGCTCCTCCTGCTTTTCCCCCCACTGATCCCCTTCCAACACCCTCCAGGCAAAAAACGAAACATAAAAAAAAAACAACAACAACAACAACAACAACAAAAAAAAAAAAAAAAAAAAAAAACAAACAAAAAAAAAACAACCAAACAACTCAGCGTTGCTTGGAGCTTTCCCCATTCCTCCTCCTGCCCAAGCTCAGCCCTCAGCAAATGTCTCGGCCCTCCAGGGCACGACTGAGAGCAAAATAAAGCAAATACCACCCAGGATCAGGCAAGCCCACGCCAGGCGCTGGCACAGGAGTGGGATGAGTCACCTCCTGCTTGCTCTGCCTACACCCGGCAGCCTCCCAGACAGGCAAACATCCACTGCCGGCTCCGAGCCCAGCGCAGGGAGCCTTGACCGCGGCATCCCCCTGTCACCATGCAGCGTGATGCTCGCCCTTGAAATCCTTCCTGTGCTGGGGCTGTCCACACAGCAGCGGCCAGGACATCACCTGCCCGCTCCCCCACTGCCAGAAAGCCCCGGAGAGCCAAAATATTTCCCTTTCAGATGGTTAAGTCACCTCTAACAGCATCCTATCTCTCCACGGGACAGGCTGTGCTCCTCTCCCTGCTTCTTGCAGCTGGGGAAACACCCTTTCACCCCAGCCCCGCTCTCCTCACTTCATTCCTCTTTGCCTTACACCCACACTGCTCCTCTCTTTCCCTAGGAACACAGGCATTTCACCCCATTTTAAGCACACGGGGCCAGATCCAGGCCAAAACACCACGCCGGTAGCTTCGCTAACTCCTGCCAGCCCAGGAGCGGAGAGCAGAGGCAGCGATTTTCTCGGCTCCACCGCCCTCTGCGGGTTTGTGTTACCATTTCCAGCCAGATCCCAGGGAAAACCAGGGCCACGGCTGCTCTGCCAGCTGTGCAGAAAACCAAGAGCCTCGCACCGAGGTGTGGGAGCAGAAAGCAAGTGCTCTCCTATTGCATTTTTATTAAATCTGGGAGAGAACACACAGCAAAAAGAGCAAGGGGGAAATTTTAACATCTTAATTTATGCAACGCACATCCCAGGCACACCACTGGCTTAGTCCTGCCCATCCCAGCAGTGAAAACGGTCTGCCTTTCCAAAATACACCCAATGGGGCAAAACCAGGGGGCTGCAGCCCAAATCCAGCCCCTGCTAAGGAGCCAGGGTTAAATAGCACGTGAGCACCCAGCACTTTACTTGTTTCATGGCCATCAGCCCTCCCAGGTGCTGGGGTGAGGCTCAGCAGGGAGCCTGCGGTCCAGGTCCTGCCTTGCATTTTTCAGGCAAGCCCGAGGAAGCCATGGAGCATCCGCTTGGGAGCGAGCGTTGGCCTGCATTACCGAGCTGGCAGCATCCAGCCGGCATCACGGAGCTATAAATAAGGCTGTTTGGAGAGCAACCTGTGCGGGGCCTGCGCCGCTGGATCCAAGGACAGCCTGGCCGGCCAAAAACTCACCCGGGAGGAAAGAAAAGTATCTAGGAAAGACCTCCCTGCTGGGGAGACGTGTGGGGCCGTGCCATAGAGGTGGAAAGCAAACAACCACCCGCAGCGAGAGGGAGGTTTTTGGGCACAAAAGCCTGGCGCTAGCCTCTGAGAGAGGGGGCAGATGCCAAGCGCTGGCTGGGAAAAGCTTCCTCAGCTCAGTTTTGTCAGCACAGGATGGTCTCGTCAGTG